AAAATTCGAGAAGACTTAGTAGTGGAGCCGAATAAATAGCCTTTTGATCTTTTCGCACCTGTAAAAATTCACAATTGCGGCTGCCAATGCCTCTGTCCGAGGTTGCGATCACCATTCACCAAAGACCGGCCGAGGAGCTGACAACGCCTTGCCTGGAGATCAACGCCTACGAATTGGACCGATGGATGACCCAATAGTGCTTACCTTGGACCGACGGATGAAGATCGCGCCTACCTTGAACCGACGGATGAAGATCGCGCCTACCTTGGACTGACGGATGAAGATCGTGCCTACCTTGGACTGACGGATGAAGATCGCGCCTACCTTGGACTGACGGATGAAGATCGTGCCTACCTTGGACTGACGGATGAAGATCGTGCCTACCTTGGACTGACGGATGAAGATCGTGCCTACCTTGGACCGACGGATGAAGATCGTGCCTACCTTGGATCGGCTGAGGACGCACCACCGACAGACGAGACACTTTTCCACCTCACAGTTGTAGCCGAAGACACGCATCTCCGTCCACCAGCGACACTGTCAGCATGGGGCCGCCGCGCCCCCAGTGGAGATCCGACAGTGACCCCGACACGCCCAGGCTCGGGTTCTTCTGCTAGTGGGCTCACGCCTCGCCCGATACGCTTCAAAAGCTCTGTGCCGGGCGACTTCTGAACTGAACAGGATGTTCCGCTATGATTTAAACGTCTCGCATACCTGAGAATTCCACTTTCTCGTCACTGCACTGCCGATAGCACCTTCGCACCTCCAATCACTGGGGGGCAGCTCCGCCATACAGTCCTGAGTCCCGGCAGCCTGGAGCGTTTCTTCAACCTCTCTCGGCCCGCTCGTGTCGGCTCTGTCGGCCCAGTCCGGCCGGCGGACCGGCCGCAGTGCCGTGCTCCGGTGGGCGGCCGTAGAGCCGGACTGCAGCGGCGGTGCCGGCGGGGGCAGCGGTGCTACTGAGGTCCGGTCCGCAGTCCGAGCGGCGCGGGGGCCCAGCGCTCCGCCGTGCCCCCTCCCTCCCCCGGGGGGACGGACATGAACGGGTGAAAACGACCGACCCGGGTCCCCCCAGGGTGGGAGCAAGGAAGGCTCGCATGCATATTGCATAGTTTTCCAAGTGAATTCAAGAGCCGAAACAGGTAATCAATGTGGCTTATCCAGGCGACCTGTGATGATCGGTAAGGAGGAGCATCAACTAATCTGTTATAGAGAGGATAAACGGACGCAGTGCCATGGGAAAACACTCATTATTAGATAATGATCATCGTGCTCAAATTTTAGGCGAATTATTCGCGCCTGATGGAGAGAGGAATGTTCAAACTATGTTTAAAGACAATTCTGCCAACGGTTCGTCAAAAATAACTCGATACATTGAACATGTTGCCAAGGGAACATCCAGACCAAAGAGCCCCGTTTGTCTGGACTCTGTTGCACTACCATACGGCGGAATCTTCAAAACAAAAGGCATCCAGAACCCTCGACGATCATCACCGTTCGTACAATACCTACCAACGACAATAGCGGTCACCGCCGACATCCCCACGGCACAGTATAGCGGTCTCCTGTCACCGGTCTAACACAGTTTCTGTGTGTCTGACAGCGTCATCAGGACGCCAGTGTAGGCGAGTCACTCAGACTTAAAAGACTGTCGGCTGCCGCACTCGGCTGTCATTTTTCACCGACGGACAATTCTCATCGCAGAGTCGTCACAAAATAAATGGCGACGTCCAACGGTGGTGGCCGTCTATCGGGAAATATCGATTAGTGGCGTACTTTGTTTGCTTTTGAAGTGTGGCTCTGACTGTACCACTTATTTACTCATCCGTACCGTAAACCGTGGTTTGTAGCTGACGTTTTTGTTTTCTTCCGTCCTGAATCCATTGTTTGCAATAATGGTTCTACCAAATTGTGGGACGTCATAAAAGTCCCTTCCTCGGCTCGAGCTACTTCTTGGTCTCAGTGCAGACTTCTTCCACCGTTGCGTCGCGCGTGCCGGTGCGGCGAACCTGCCCAGAGGTATGCGATGACATACTGTCGCCTCGTCACCTCGACGGCAGCGACAGATGTCGATCCGTTACCCGGCACCGCCCGGGGCCGGCGGCGGTCCCACGCGCAGCTACCACCGCTGTTCGCACTTCGGGTCCTCGTTATTGGAGATTGGTGACCGTGGTCTTTGGTGATTGGCAAAACATGACAGCCGATCAAAAACCTTTTGTTCATCACCACCGTTCACCAGTGACCGGCTGCATCCTTCAGAACCCAAAATTGTAAAGCTCCGTCACATTAATCCCAGTTAATACACATTTTAATCGCCTATTACATCTCTTTACGGAGATGATGTCATTGACTGAGCATTTAGTGGTGATAAACCTCGTTTATTGGTGCTAGCAGACGGAGAACACGCTGACAGCTCCCGAATAAAAACATTCAACAAACCACCTGGGCGACGATTCAGTACTTTCCAAAACCTCAGCAAACAATGTCCTTGCAGCAGGCTGCAGCTGTGCTAAAAACGCCGTCTCGTGTGAGCCCTCAAGATCCGTTTGTCGCCGGGCAGAGACGGTATCCTTGGATGGACAGTCCGACCCCCACTCTCCGCCACTCCCACCGTGCCACCCTGGCGCCTGGGACGTCTCTTAGTGCACCATGGCTCCCCGGGCGTCCCTCCGAGTCCGGGCACCGTGACACCGTGACAGGTAAACAGGCCAGCAGCGGCGCTCACGACCGTGACGCCGTGACGCGGCGCGTTGCCAAACGGCCGGCAAAACGCCGCCGATGTGTCACGTGCTAACGACGTCACGGAGAGGGGAGAGAGAAGAGGGGAGGTGAGGGGGCCGGGCGTGACCTGACCGACTCGGACTGGCCGCGCAGCAATGACAAAAATGTGACGGGAGATAGCGTCGTTTTAAATGCAGTCATGCCGCAAAAGATTTCGGAAGGTTTCGACGAAATTCCAGAAAATTTTGACCGTGCTAGATCAAAAACCTTATTGTTCACGGTGGGATGTCGGACACCACCCTGGATCCAAATTATACCAGTAGGGCGCCGTGTTCACACGCAGTTCACGATGACGTTTGCTCAAACAGCCAGATTATTAGCTCGTCATTGGCGACTGCCAACCACCGACACGATGTACCAGTGACCCACACAGGGTCTTCTGGCGCCCAGTCAGCACTCGTATATCACTGTGTGACAGTTATGTGTCTGTTGGTGCTACCGCGCCGGCCCACCGAGTTCGACGTTGCACCGTCACGTCACACCCCGTCACAGAGCGTCACAGACCGTCACAAATCACCACGTGCCCTGTCTGTGGTGACCCAACGCGATGCACATGTCTCCTTCTCCGTCCAGCAAATCATGGCGACAATAGCCCAGTCTCCGCTCATGATCGCGTGTTTGTTTGCGTGCCTTGTGCAACAGATTCATGCCGGACAGCGGGGAAGCCCAGTCTAAGTCTGTACCAGGGGCGTGACACGTCACGGGTCACGCTCCGCGGGCCGAGGTCACGGTGTGACTGGCCTCTGACCTCGGGCCGGTTCGAGCCGTGGAGAGAGGCGACAAAACACGGGCCGAGGCAGCTGGGAGTGACCCGTGACCGGTTACTGGGCGGTTAGGGGCGGCTATTGGCCGTGATAAATACCGTCCCGGCAATATGGTGTGGCAGGGTGGCTGCGAGGCTTTCCCAACCCGGTTTTATCACTGAATGACGACAACAAATCATATGTCATGGAACGTATACCTACCACAGTTCTGCCTAGGGTGATCGAAAATGAATAACATTGGTGACAGATACTTCGTCTGTTCTTAGCAACAGTGTCTGAGCAGTGCCTTAGTGAAAGGCACTGAAATGTCGTCTGCAATACATACTTCGCTGCAATAAGAAACTATTCTTCAAAAGAATCAATCTTGCAGAATCGCAACGGTCCACAATTTTTTCGACTGCTCTTGGCTCATCATTTCTTTGAAGGCTGTTGGTTACCAAATCTCATAACGGTGTCTTAGTTCATAGCCGCTAAAAACCGTTTTAAACCCTCAATCAATGACGAAAATATTTTGACGTTCCTTGACAGCTGGATTACCAATTAGTTGCCGAGTGGCGAATCCTCTCATCAGAACGTCAGATCGGCTGATACTTTGGCCTAATGGACCGTATCAATGCATGCTTCGAGAAGATCAGACAACGAACGGACCAGCATCAGACACAAAACCCATAAATTGAGCTAACTTAGGATAAAACGCATTCTCCTCAACATTATGTAGCATCGTACATTCAGTATGCTAGACGAAAATCAGTGATTACTAATCACGTTATCGCTCCTATCACGTTCATTAGTGCTCGCTTCGCCAGCCCATCCGTCGGTCCTCTGAATTTTACATCACTTATGTATGTGGATACCAAGTCTTTACCAGCATGCACCACTTGGCACTCTCCAAAACGTATGTCGGTACTCGATACTCTCCAATGCATCCTCCTGTAACTCGGTGTTTACCAAATGTCAGGCGGCATTCGGTATTTCCCAGTACATCAGCCAGTACTCAGTACTCACCAGCATGTGGGGCGGTGCTCATTAGTTCCCAGTGCATACATCCACTACTACTCGGTACTCACCAGTCTGTCCGTCGGTACTTGGTACTCCCCAGTACTTCCACCACTACTCGGTACTCACCAGGATGTCTGGCGGTACTCGGTACTCCCCCAGTACCTCCACCAGTACTCGGTACTCCCCAGTACCTCCACCACTACTCGGTACTCACCAGGATGTCTGGCGGTACTCGGTACTCTCCAGTACTTCCACCACTACTCGGTACTCACCAGGATGTCTGGCGGTACTCGGTACTCCCCCAGTACCTCCATCAGTACTCGGTACTACCCAGTACCTCCACCACCACTCGGTACTCACCAGGATGTCAGTCAGTACTCGGTCCTCCCCAGTACCTCTGTCGGTACAGTCACTACTCAGTAATTACCACCACACCCGCCAGTACTCGGTACTCACCAGGATGTCTGGCGGCGGCCGGGTGAGCGCCGGCAGCACGTACACCGTCTCGGCGGGGAAGTCGCCTCGGCCGCCGTCCCTCTGGCACGTGCCCACACACCAGCCGCTGTTCATCACCGTCTCGCCGGTGCTGTCGTCCTCCAGGTGGATCAAGTCGCCCTTGCGGAAGTTCAGGAAACTGCTGCCCTCTCCTGGATGGCAGACAGAACGAGGGCGTGAGGTCAGAGGAAGACCATTTTTGCCTTAGCATGGAAGCCTACGAAACTGCATTGCAATGTCTACTTATATTTACAGCGGCGATGGGGATTGTTTTGTCCGGCAAGTGGCGTAGCTAATGTTCTGTATTACGCAGTAAGTTAGATTTAGAATCGCTACCTAAATCTAAGATAATTTTGCTGTCTCATCGACGAGTTACGTCATGAGGCTCCTCGTCTCAGACATGAGACTCCTCGTCTCATGACTCCCCGTCTTACCAGGAGCCTTGTAGTCCTGCAGGGCGATGACGTAGCGGGAGCGCTTCTTCAGGCCCTCGAGGAAGTAGACGACGAGGTCGCGGATGTCCTCCGAGTTGGGGCTGGTGAAGGTGAACTCCTCGCCACGCACAGTGGCCAGCGTGAACGTCTGCTGCTGCGTCTTGTTGGTCCTGATGAAGGATGAACGGGGCACACATCGTCAGAGGGCTATAATTTGTTAGCTGTTATGATTGACGTCGAAAGAGTGCCTGTCCTTGTTGGCTTACTAATGCAGCTTGACTACTAACGCGGCTTGGTTTAATGTGGACTATTTGATTCCTGAAGAGTTGCATGCATATCAAGCCGCTTATTTGTCTTGGAAGATATTCCATTGAAAGGTAGGCCATAGCTTCACGAAAATTCCGGTCACCTGGACTCCTGTCTGTATCGAGATTAGCTCGACTCGTAGTTTAAACTTACTTTTGACTGGAGACCTGTGTGATCTCGGGGAAGCTGAGTTCGAGCAGCACCTGCTCCTGGTCGTCCACCACGTACACGCCGGTCCAGTTGACGGCGATGATGACGTCGTTCTTCGGCAGGTTCGGGCCTGGAGCAAGAATTTGGTGAGGTGATAACCCCACCAGCGTTTGATAGCAAGTACATTTGTACAGCGATACACGTTGATTAATTCCACAATGATTGTAAATATAAAATAATGTTCACTTATATACCAAATGGGAAAATTATTTCACGGCAAGTGTATTTTATAAGTTAATGTTTGTCGTTCTAGTCCGTTGCGTTTCTCAAATAAACTATTTCACTTTTCCACGATATATTTGAATGTCCGAGATGGGCCAAGGGATAATGACGAGTAAAAGAGACCGGCGAGGGAGCGGCCCTCGCACGGTCCGAGTCCGTACAACAGAATCGTCTCTCCTCGACCTCGGGGGTTTCGGCCCGCTCCGGCGCGGCGCGGCATTTACCACGCGTCATGCCAGTAGGTACCACGTCATATATGTACGTCATATCATAACACCAATCAGAAGCGGGTCAGGACAGGCGTCACAGGTAAGGAACTAGGACCATAAAAGGGCATTGTTAGTAAGGCAGGGGGCTGGGGATGAACTTTGTTACAATAAGCGACCAAAACATTAAAAATATACAGGGCTTGTTTCGGCACAGCGCCCTCACCAGAGTACTTGAAGGCCTCGTAGAACCTGGAGAAGAGCAGTGGCCACTTGAGCTTGGCGTAGCTGACAACGTCCTCCTTCACCTTCAGGGCCTGGGCGCGCTCCTTCATGTAGTAGCTCTGTTGATGGAGCGTAACAGTCAGCACCCTGCTTTTCAGAAACTGGACGTAACTTTGAACAGAACGGAGTGACGATGCGATGTTAAGTAGAAGGAACAGTTCTATGATCGAGGACAACCGGCATAAACTGTGCGGGCAACGCCATAGTGAAACCTGCTACAATTTAACATGTTTTCAGGGAAGTGACGGGTTAACATGTTATAAACTAAGACATTCCGGCAAGGTCGGTTTTGAAACTTCACACGCGAAAGCACCAACGTCCACCTTCCGATGTCTTTCACCGACCTTTTTGAACGCCTGCTGGACGAGCTGCGCCCACTTTTCGACCGTGTTGTCGATGCCGTTCAGACAGTAGTCGGGGATGTAGTTGGGCAGGAGGCCGATCAGTCGCTCCTGGTTCATGTCGGAGCTGAACTCGATGTAGTACTGCTGGGCGGCGATCATCGCCAGGTCCTCCTCCTGAGGGGCACGTCCGAGCAGGGTCGGGTCAAATGGAGCCCAACGACTCCAGAGGAGAACGGAACAGAGACGCAACAAACTTGGTTGGGAGTGTTCAGGATTACCAGCAATAAAGATGTTTGAGAATCAAGACGATTTTATGTTGAGTAAAGGAACGTGAATTCGTCAGAGTGAAGTTGTCTGATACGACTCACAACCAGCTCAGAGTAAGGAATGAGAAATGTGAGCGTAGTGAAAAAAATAGCATATGCAAGTGACAGGCTGAGCGTACCTTGTCGCAGCGGTACTCGCCGAACTTGACTCCTCGCACCACCTGCTGGTAGATGAGGTTGGTAGCGACGTTGTCCTCCTCCGGGTCGTGCCACGGCGCGAAAATCTCCTTCCTGAAGGAAAGCAGGTACAGGAACGTCAGTAATACGGACATGAGACGAGGTCAGCTATTGCTCCATCATGCTGCTCTCGGACAACGGTTACGTTAGCGCTGGTGATGAAGTTCACCACAAAGTTTCGCTTGTCGGTGTCAGACAATGCAAGACATGGACTGACCTGAAGAAGAGCCGCCAGGGCGCGTTCCGCTCCTGCGCTCCCTGTTCCTTGGCGTATTGCTCGCACTGGGAGATGGCGTCCATCACGTGGTCACCGCCGGAGCCCAGCGACGAGACCTGGTAGAACCCGGGATAAACCTCAGTTCGTGCGATACAATCTGATACAAACCACATGGTTAATCCAACACTTTGAAACGTTGCATATCGAAAGTAGCCTCAATCCCTTCGTCACCTCATTCAACTTGCTCTTGCCGTTGCCATACCTTGTCGAAGAGGGCGATGTAGAGTGAGAAGCCGAACTGGTCCTTGAGCCCGATCTTGTCGCTCAGCTGGTTGCAGAGTTCGCGGGCCGTGGTGGCAGAGTCGGCCAGCAGCGTCTTGGTGTTGCCGTCCATGAACGTGATGGGCAGCATCAGCGGCTTCTTGTTCTTGGTCGCCTGTTGGATGAAGTTGTTGTATTGTCACTTGTCAGTCAGAGAGAATAACAGGGATATGATATGACAGGCAGGCCATTAACCAAAGCCTAGCCATTATTGACGTTAGCAGTAACCCTCAACATGGTTAGGTTTTGTGACTTCCGACCACCAAAACTCGCCCGTTCAAAACATTTTGCTCTGTTCTAGGTAAATTGCATAAATAGTTCTGTTTCTATTTAGATTAAATAAATTATGTCATTGCGATGCGCTTCGAGAAATGACTAAGCATACGATGGGGCTCTTACCTGAAGCTCCAGCCAGCTGGGCGGCTGGTTGCGCGTGCCGTTGCTGAATGTCCTCCGCAGCCGCTCGTCACAGTAGGGCGCGTAGCCAGGCGGCCCCTCGCGGATGAAGCAGCGCAGGTACTTGACGAAGTTTTCGGACGGCGAGAAGCACCCGACGCAGAGCGACAGCAGGATCCAGCCGCGGGCGTGCGACGACTTCGAGGGGTTGTTCGTCAGCTGCTTGCAGATCTGACAGTAGATCTCGTCCCTGTGATGACCAGAGGCGGGGAAATCAGACGTCTGGTACAATCAGCTGTATGTGGGCTTGCAGGATACTTTGAGGTACATCGGAAGAATGCCTGCGAGAACTGCATACTCGACATTTCAGCTACGAACGGTGAAGCAGGCAGCAAAAATTTACGAATGCTTTTTTTTGTTGGGTTAACATGAGGGCAGCAGACGAACACTTCCATATTGAAACCTGTTCACAAGACTTCAGCCACTAGTGCTATAAATGAGTTGTCGCTACTAGACAATCGTCGAACCCCTTATAACAATCCCTTTATAACAGACCTGAGTTCTGCGCGCAGGATGCCGTGACCGATGATGAAGTGCAGCTTCTCCAGGTTGGAGGTGGGCCGCGACTCGAGCCACGAGGTGTAGCTCTCCGTGGTGTAGCTGTCCTCCTCCAGCTTCCGGCGCACGTCCTCGCCTAGCTTGGTCTTCCGCTTCAGCGTCAGCGAGACGAGCTTGTTCCGGATGGAGCGGGGCTTCGACTTCAGGTACTCCTGGGCGGCGGTCACGAGGGTTTATGTCAAGAACGGTTCACCGGTACTGAACATAATGAAGTGTTGGTTGAAAGTAATTGTGGTGGGATGACCTTCCGGTGGATAACATGTCAAGGAGTGCGTAGATAATGTTAGACGTTGCGTTATACGATCACTCAACGAAAACCATTCCATTGCCGCTGCAGTGGAATAAAAAAGTGTACTAAATAATCATACATTTTTCTTATGCAACAACATCTTGAAATAACAGAAACAAAAGGTCATTCATACATACATGATCATATTCGAAAATCGCCCATTCATAGGATACAACACAATACACCGTAGGGATATGTTGGTACGTACAAAGCGTGTGCAATGTGCAGCCAGTGTTTGCACCGTCTCTAACTACGCCACGAAAGGACGAAAGCAAGGCTTTACTATGATACAGCATTGCAATAACCAGGACCAGTAGCAGGATTCCTTTATACAGCCCCTGCAATCTGTTGGACAAACACGAAATTCGGACATGTGCTGTGATTCTCCATGAGTCCCTTGAAGAACAGGTCAGGTCAACGTGCGTTCGTCCTCTACTTCCACCGGTATCCGCTACAGAACCACTTTTGCATCATTGATCGACCACTTAGTACCAAAGGGCAGCATCACGCAACATGAAATTGTAGCATGGTGACCAGTGTGAAGCCTGTATGTGATCCTTGCCCTGTGACAAGCGATGCGTGACACACGTGTGCGGTGCCACTGCGACCGCCACCGCCACCTCGTCCCGACAGCCACAGTGGAAGGGACGACCTCTGTGGAGTGTCAGACAAATACGGACAGACGGACGGACAGATTTGTGAATAAGCGGTGAAGTCAGACGATCGCGGGTAGAGTTCTCACCCCACTGCCATAGCCCTCGGCCGCTGCCGCCATCATCTCCTGAAACGTGATGTCATGTTCATTTTCGGAGATGTGTACTGCGGCCATCCATTATGTGCAGAAGGCGTTAGTTGCAAAGTTCCTTCGAGATTTGGTATTAACTAGTAATGGCGTGGGCAAACATGCCTGAAGGTGAACTTGTTAGCGATATAAAACGGTGTTAGATGCCGGGGCCCGGGCTGGTCATATAATCCTACTAAGTTACGCAATTTTCCTATGAGGGACTCATCAAAAAATCCCTCCAACCACATCAGTGACCCAAATTCCTTCGCTCTGCCGCGTGTTTCACTCACCTGTTCCATTCCCATGAGCTGCGCCTCCTGGAACTCCTTGGTCTTGACGAAGTTCCTGCCGAGAGTGGCCGTCACCTTGGACATGACGGACGTGTTGTCGCGGTCCATCGTGTGGTACTTGGGCTCAGGCATGTCGCCCATGAAGCGTAGGATCGTGATCCACAGCGCCAGACCGGCCTGCGGACGGCGTGGTCACAGTTCCTCGGTCAACATCAGGTCAACGAACAGACAACGTCTCAGGAACAAGTGGAACGGCGCATCTGTGAGCTTGAGGATTTGTCAAAATAAGCCATCGCATAACTCAAGCACATCGCAAGGATTTATGTACCCAAGCACTCGTTACCGCCAAGTAGCGGCAACTCGTCAGCACATTCCCCTTCGATGACTCACACATTTATTTCGCCACGTTCACCATTCAGTGACTTGCTAGAGCATGTGCATTGTGCAAGCCATCACGTGCCTCGCTTTTCATTTGCTTACCATTGACACGTGCTGCCGTTTGCGCCCTCATTGCCCTCCCGCCCCACTCTAGCCTCCCTTCAGCACCCCACCCGCTCCCCGATTCCACCCGCTTGTCCATGTGAATGCACTAACCAGCTGATCGCCCTGAGTCTGAAGTGGCAGCAACGACTGCTTGAGCGCCTTCCGCGAGTATTGCGGGCCCACGTTGCCCTGGAAGAACGTGGCCGCGAACTTGGCGAACTTGAACTCGCTGAGGTCCTCAACCTCCTCGGGCGCGGCTGGAAGTGCGGAGATGACCTCTCCGTTGGCGGGACCCTTCGGCAGGGGCTGGAAACCCTGTGGATGGGCATGGAAGATGCGAGTCAGCGTGGGAAGCACCGTTTGTTTATAGGTGCGGGTAGCGAAACGAAGAAGTCGTGGAGACACAATTCAGGCTAATGTCCAAATAAAGCTGAGCTTATGCCGGGAATGGTGACGTGAGGGTTTTATATGTGTTAAATGAAACTGGGAGATTTTCTGCGAAGCACATTTCCTGGCAACATACCGTATCTCAATACTAACCCCGAAGGCCTGGCTGGCGGCCGCCTCGCCTGCCCCGTCCGGCTGCAGGAAGCCGAACACGTCGTCCACCATCTTTGAGTCGTCGATGGGCTCCATCTGGCGCCGCTCGGCCTCGGAGAGCACCACGCGCACAGCGTCCCGACCGCGCTGCTCCTCCAGCTCCTCCTCCTGCTCGCGCCGCTCCAGCTCCTCCAGACGCTCCTGAGGATCCGGGCACCAGGGTCACTCTGCTGCTGCTCAGGATTCGTTCAACACGACAGCCGGAGTAGTTGGACATGTTGGCTGAGGCTTCCCAAGAAAGATATGTAAATTTTGTAGTTTTTTTTAACAAGGCATGCTACAGAAAGAGAAGGAGTTACTGTAAGCTGTAAATGTAATCAAGCAAAATATCAGCGAAGCCGCCTTCCCAACAAACTCTATGACTTCGATCAGCTAGCTGTAAGCTCTATGCTTCACGATCTCGGTTGAATAAACATCGAAGGGGATCAGACATAGGTATTATCCCGGCGTCTGAATCACCTTAATCCCCGCTTCCGCTCGGCTACACAAACAGGCCAGTGTAACCTCCAACTTCATTCAACAATAGATCGCCCAGAACGCAGATCAATGGCCGATAAAAAACGTGGACGAATAGACCACTGCCAACGATACGTTGAAACCCGACCTTCAGCATCGCACGCACATATTGCAGATGAATGTATGGCGGTGCACGAACACGCGTAATGGACACCGTCGATTCAGGGTCACGCGATATTATGACGAGAGGAGCTGATTCACGACCGCGTGGCGCAGATATGCTGGAAACGATTCTGAATGTAGGATACGGATAACCGCGGTATGGTGACTTACCCTGAATTTGCCCTCGGCCAGTTTCTTGGCCTCCCTCTGGCCGACCTGCCTCCGGAGGTGGGCTTCCTCCTCGTCCCTGAGGCGCAGGTACTCCATGCGGGCCCGGTACTCCATCTGAGGGTGAGGGACACGACATCGGTTAGAGGGTCGCGTGACGGCAGATTCTACATTTGGGCTCGTAAGTCTCGTAAGTCAAGCATACATGATGAAACGCATTCGAGATTAGTAGAAAAAAATGACGCTAAAGAGATTGTGTAGCCAATTTCGCAACGCTAGGACTACGTGATATCAAATGTCTTGTTGCATGGAGTCTTGAAACATTTAGAACATGGTAGAGCGAAAGGATAACCGGAGAGGAACCAGCAGCTGTATGGGGGCGCGCGCTGGATAGGGGGACCCAACCGACTGACATTTTCACATTGGCACTCACGAGACGACATGGCTCGTAAAAGTCACTGAGGTGCTCTCCTGCCACCACTGAGGACCGCGAGCCGACACAGGACCACAAAGAGTTCATCGCCATTGCTGATTGCAGGGACGGAACAACACTGGTCGGCAATTTCAGCTGAGTGACCAGTGAGCCTGACTCCGTATAACGTCCAGCACTGGCGACGTTCGAGATCTCTTGCTGCTCATCATACCGGAAGTAGGTATGGAGATGTTCATTGTCTTCAGAGCATCATGTGGATCTGCATCTTCGAATCACTTTTACTTGCTTCTCAGACGGTCTTCATAGAGCAATGATCTCCAGCGAGTGTCTCGTAGCCAATCCTCAGTCGATTTAGCGTTTCGTCAGCGATTAGTTCGTGTTCGTTCGTTTCACCGTCCACTTGAGCATCCCCCTACCACCCGGCCGACCGATCCAGTTCGGGTCCCGCGCACCAATGTCGTGTGTCGAGCGGGCGACCCGTGGTCCGCTGCGCCGAGGACTGTGACGTCACGCAGCACCCGGCAGGCTACTGTCGGGGTGGCGTGCCGGCCGTGCTTGGAGGGTAGGTCACGCTTCCATCGGCGCCGTTCAGGGTCAACGGGACGGGGGCGAGGGGACTGTGGTTTACTGACAGGAACAGCTCACTGGGGTGTTGGTGAGTGACTGAATTACGCGGATCTGGTGAACCGGTCACGCGCACAGAACGCACACAACTGTCGAGATGTGACAAACATATTACGGAAGCACGCGTCGTTCGGAACCGAGCCAAGGCCATCGCTCTATTGACATATGCTCAACAGACAGTCGTTGAATGACGCTGTCCCCGGGTTTGCCCGTCCCCGTCACGTCGAGACACAAGTGGACGCGACTAGACGGGACCATCCCAGGAGTCAATTGCACTCCCGCATCTCGAAACCCTCCCGGGTCACCCGGTACCCACCTTCATCTTCTTGTAGCGTCGGCGGGCGATCATGCCGCGCGCGTAGGCCTGAATGGTGGTGGTGGCCCAGTTGCGCCGGTTGAACTCGCGACGCACCAGGAAGCCGCGGCACCGCGCCTGTGTGGAATCCAGGATTGTTACAGATGGGACGTGTCGAGTGTTAGCAATACGAGTATGACTCAGGTGGTCGCATTCCGTGAAGTTTGGCATGGCGTGAGGCTACCATTTTGTCATCTTGGGTGCCAGGTTGTATCCATGCCTTTAGCTTGTATGAGCCCATCGGACCTAATGGCTCTTAGACCATGTTTCTTTGTCTCAACCCTCAAGACGTATGTACGCACATACCTGCAGAGAGACCACGTGACCTCGCAGGTGCTTGAAGCGGTGCGAGAGCACGCGAGACCTGATGAGCGCCTGGAGCCGCATGTAGCCGACGCGCATGTGCTGGTAGGCTCGCTTCTGGGCGTAGCCACGCCACACACGCTGGATCGTGATGGCCGCAGCGCGCATACGCAGGAACCTGACGATGCAGGTGCCAGGTCGGTTGAGGGCATGGAACAGAAGCCATCCGCATTGCCAGAAGAGGTGAAACACTAACGTTGCTGCTTTAGTCAATTGCAGAGTCAAAGCCATAACTTAATGCTGCGAGCAAGTGACGTGCAATCCCAGACCCGGTACAGCTCAGTTACGAAACCCCGTTTATCTGTCTCCCCGACGAAGTCATGAACATGTAGTTATCTATGCATCGGTTGTCCCTCAACTTACCGCCGCCGGTGGTACCAGGCCTTGATGGAGCGCTGCAGGATCAGGATCTTCTTGGTCAGCACACGGTCTCGCTCCTGCTCCAGGAACAGGTCCTGCGAGTCCTTCAGGAACACCTTATTCTTGCCGAGCTGGTAGTCGGAGCGGCCCAGCACCTCCTTGCAGATTTTGGAGGTAGCTGCCCGGCAGTCGACCTGCAACGAAGAGTGATGGGTCAGCAGGTCAACATGTCCGCAGGTCGTTTTTCCTCAACTAAAACAAAGCATGGGCTTTCACTCGTCTTTCACACTTATAAAGAAATAAAATTGCAAATAATTGCTCTTTAGGAGGTTTCGAATACTTGCGTTGACCACAGACGAGACAGCAACCAAGGTTATTCGCCATGTCAATTTCTAAGACCGTCGTCAATACCTTGTGGGGCGGCGGGCAGCCGCTGATGAGGAAGCGGTAGCGCTCGACGAACTCGCCGAAGGTATGCCGGATCGGGTACCCGGCGCGGCGGATCCGGATCGTCTCCATCATGCCGGAGTAGCGCAGCTGGCGACAGCACAGCTCCCGGTCGAAGATCTGCCGGCGGAGGAACGGAGAGCTGTCAGAGGTGCGGGGGTAGACGGTGAATGGTCGGAGATAGAGCACAGTCGCGTCAGGTGGTGGCGCTGTGTGCAGATGTGGGTTTATCACAAAGTTTGCGACATGAATCTCAAAGCGTCATGGCTTATGAAATGCATTATTGGTCATGCGTCGAATAAGTTGCATCTAAAAACAGATAACCCAAAAGATGTCAGCGGCAAATGCTACAAAGTGCATTTGGCTTTGAGAAGCACTGTAAACGTCATTGAAAAATGAGACCGTCATAGTCGCATCAATCCAGTCTTTGTCAAGTAAGTCTTTGTAGTGCATCCGTGACGATGTATCTTTCCATTAAATGACTGCAATGATAAGCCAGGTTATTACCCTAACGACTATTGCCCTAATGCGATCCTGGTATGAGAATAAGGGCGTTATCGTGGTATATCAGCACACAGAGGCTTATCAGGTAACAGCCGCCAGACGGTGCAAGATTGCAGTATCGGCTATCACCCCCTTCCGCCCCTCCACTTCACCACACCTCACTGTAAGCTATTTATAAAATAAAATGATGCAACTACCTCACATACCTACCACAAACAGTCACGGTCACACTCACAAGCACTGCACACAAACCATCGCCAACACTCCCGACTGTCCACACAACCCACTATGTCACATTTCTTCGGTCCTCACATGTGGAAACTGACTGGGACTGCAGCTCGGCCGCGGTCGCAGATGGTCAGAATTCGTCACCCCCCACCCCTCCCCCGACCCCTTACGGCTGTCCCGTCACAGGTGTGCTGCATGGAGCGAGCTGACAGCAGGATGACGGTAGGTGGCGGTTAAGTGACGTTATGATGGCGTACTGTTACTGTTGACTGTTCAGCGCGTCATGAAGAAAAATTGTTGCAGGCTCGTTGCAAGCGTAGCTGATGAGTGGACGCATGACCACGGTTTTCAACGTGAAGTGAATGTGCAGTTTTTATCGAAAGGAAAGTTGATGAATCGTTCACTGAACCTCCTAGAAGGCTGGCATGTCACTGTGAACGGTAAAAGTTTGTATGCATGGGAAGGCATGCACCATGCTAATTAAACGTAAAGGTTTCATTAACTGATTTGCTGAGCTCTCTCACCATGGGCTTTTTGAACTCGTTGGGCTTGACGCAGCGGATGAAGAACGGCTGGCAGCTGGAGAGGGTTCTCATCAGCGAGTCCAGCGACTTCTTGAACTGCGTCGACAGAGTCGGCGCCTTCTTCCTCGTCTCTGGAAGAGACGAACATATGCATCAGCGGAGCACCACATGCATGCATCGGGATTGACAGAAGTTTCTGCCAAGTAAATCGCATGTTTCCATTTTGGACACATACGCTTATATACCGAATGGTTAATGGGGCGTATAAATCGTGTGGATAGGAACCAAACAACGGATGCCGTAAGAGAGATGGTGAGAGGACTTCGCGTTGCGGCGCCTCACCTGATCCCATGTTGAGGTCCTCCTGGAACAGTGTGTGCATGAACTTGTTGGTCGAGCTGTGCACGATCTGCATCAGGTCGGCACTGAACGAGTCTCGGTTCTTCTCCAGGAAACCTGGCCAGGAGCACAGCAGGACGAGTCAGATGCTTACAGGCTTCAGCTAGCATCCTTCAAAAGGTAATCGCTGCGGTTATCGTTATTGATATTTAAGCACGTTTTGTGATACACGTTTTAAGCTACCAAAGTCAAGTTTCCATTCCAAGATCCGGGTCTCTATCCACATATTCCCTTCTTATAAGCAATAGTAACAACAAGGGGAGTTCCAAATGGCGTAACAAACACGGTCATCCGACTATAAGGTCTTTAATTGACGAAGCAGGCAGTGAAACCCCCAAGCGCCTGTCGACGATCATGGTCGAACGTAAGACATTACCTCTTGCGTCGTAGAAGACGACGCCGGCGAAGTGGTTCATGCCGAACGAGGCGTTCATGTCCGACTTGGGCTTCAGATAGTTGACGTTGTCGCCGTGGGTCTTGTGCAGCTTGTTCAACATCGTCTGGTCCGTGCCCTGGGGAATGGCAGTCGAGGTGATCGTGAGACTGAGAGAAGACGATCTAGCAGCATGCTCCTATTCATTAGTCACACTTCGTTATCTGCGTAACCAACATGAACTCTACAAGAGTAAAGATTAAAACATACTACCGGGACTAAATGTCCATGGGGGAGAAGCCATGGCATAATCTTTACCGTCCCCATCACGGCACCACCGCCACCGGTCACTCACCTTGGGGAACTTGCTCTCCTCGTCGATGAGCGCCATGATGTTGAGCGGTCGGACGGCGATCATGTCGAGCGCGTCCTGGTTGTCGACGAACTCGATGTGGTGCCAATTGATGGCCTCCAGGTTGTACTCCTCCTGCTCCAGCTTGAAGATGTGCTGCACGAAGAACTGCTGCAGGTTCTCGTTGGCGAAGTTGATGCAGAACTGCTCGAAGCTGACGGTAGGACAGGACAGTGAGATGTGAGGTTTGTTGCTGAGGCCTATTGGCACACTTATAAGACTGCCATGGAGCATTGCTAATGACCGAAGATGTTTACATTCACGGCGTAATTTTGCCCACATGGGCATGGCTGCTCGAGGTACAACTATTGCACGAGAAGTTAATGCAACTCCGCTGAATCAGTTCATTCATTTATGAGATTCGCCAAGCTTACCTGTTGGTTCTGAAGTTCTCGAAGCCGAAGATGTCGAGCACACCGATGCACGACCTGAAGGTCTTCTTGGGCCGGTAGATGGCCGAGTTGATCTTGCTAACGATCCAGACGAAGAGCCTGCCGTAGATTCCCTTGCAGAAGGCGTCTCTTACGTCCATGGCCTGGTCGACTGATAGCAGCGACCTCTGCAAGCGGAGGTGGTTTGGGCTCACTGAGTAAATTCACAGACCTCAAAACAGACATGATAAATGAACAATGGGTACGACTATGCAACCGTTCTGCTGGAATGTACCGATCCATATATTTTGCATAAATCACAGATGTTAATAGTATTTGCTCGGATGTCGCATGCTACCTACGCTGAATGTCGATGTCAACAATAGCAACAGTTAAAACTGTTCCCACTGCAAAAAGCATTTCTGTTTTCCACGAAGCAGGAGCTATTTCAGGTTCCGATGTAGCTACGTACCACGGTCTCTCCCTGGGCGAAGATGGTACGCGATGTGATGGCCATGCCCAGCGCCTGTCCTCCCGCCCCGAGCAGTTTGGCGCACCGGTTCACGTTCGTCATGTCGCGGACCTCGGATGAGTCGATGTTGTCTGCAGTGGGGGAGGTCGATGGTGAGACGAGTTCATGTAGCGGCGAGAGAGTCGACCAGTTCTAAGCAGCAGGCAGACTTTAGAGATCGAACCTGGACATTTTAATCAGATAATGAATTATTGTTTGATCGCATTACCATAAATAGACAATTGAATGGAATGAGGCAGCTCGAAGATTGATGGACTGAGCCTGAAGTCTTTGCCTACCTAACTGATTGTGATTGACATCCTCCATATGTCAAAGCGCCGCCTTCATATTCAACAATCCACTTCGTATCCAATCCGGATTTCTGCGACCATAAATCAACTCTGGCCCCACGTCCACTCACCGACGACAGTGGGGTCGAACTTGATGTTGCCCATGTGCAGGATGGCGGCCAGCAGCTTCAGCACCTCCCAGATGTCTGTGTCGCTGAACATGAGCACCTTCATGGCGGAGCGGATGTCGGCAAACTCGGCCGCGTCGTCACGGCCCTCGCAGGTGATCGTCCCACCCTGCAGGGGAATACAATGGACAAGTCAGATGCAGACAGTCGGATTATAGGGGTGTTTAAACGTTTGGATGTAAAGAGCAATGGAGTGGCGTTAGTACGCGAAAGATGTCGTCTTTCGACACGCGCGATGTGCGAATCCTGGGTGCATAACGATGTTTAGTGATGAATGTATTTTAACGTACGTGGCATGCATAAAAGGCACATTCGAGGTGCAAGGGCAAAGAAAGCTGACGCGAGACAGCCTCAGTGCAGTAAGGAGGCTTTACTGCGCTCGTCACCCAGTCTTGCGCTACCGCTGCGCTATCATCAGCAATGTGGATCCAACTCAGATTAGTTTTGAGAATGTCCTGACCTAAACAGACACTCATTACCACCTTCAGCAAGCACGCATGGGTGACGCCCTATGAACATTCGCCCTTATCCCCCGTAGAGGTCTTATTCATTGGCTGATCGTACGTTTCACGTTTCGGAGAGCTGAATCGTGAAAGGTGATGGCGATTTTACGCACCATATGTCACCCCGCGAAACATGCAAATAAGCGAACTGAAAACAAAGCCCCTGACTCACGGATGGATCGACTGTAAAATTGGTGTCACGGGTCATTTGTAGCGTGTCAGTGTCGCCAGACTTATTGGTGGAAACTTACAATGGCTACATGTATTATGTTTGCATTTAGTCATTACCTTCGGTTGAGGCATAGTACATTCATGTCATTGCACTTATCAAGTCACCTTCAAGTGACATGCCTGTTTCGACATGCCGACTTTTGTCAAAATTGAGCAAACCGTTTAGCCGTGAATCCAAAGCGCATCGGTATCCGGCTATCCCCACATTGTCGACGGCTATCGCCCCTCCCCATGACTGGCTGATATCTGGGTGCCTCCGGGAGAGACTAAGCCCAGTGACGTCGGCAGATGATCCCAGCTGCCCAGATACGGCCCCTGCCCCGGCCAGGTCAGGAGGTCAGCTCTGGCGCCGCTCGTATCAATCTCTGAGGGAATTACTGGCGGCCGAGGCACGCAGCTATCAGCAATTACTGAGAACAGAGCGCGTGGGGCTGCGGCTGCGATCGGTATCAGGGATCCCGAGTGGCAGAGAGCGGCGACGCCTGACTCGGGATTAGGAGCAGTTTGGACTAAGGTAAGTAGGTAGATGCTTCTGGTGGATGCCTTAGAACGTCTTATTTGCAAAAATGTTATTTTTAAGCCTTATGTCTGAACAACCTGGGACGCTCATGCAGATAGAAGGAACCTTTCAGGTGTTTATCTGTTGCGCTAGGCGCTAGCCGACATCGCAATGGTTTTAGTTCCGTTTCTGGAAGACACGTCACAAATATGACACTGTATGAATAGTGAGTAGTGACTACAGCAACTGGCATGGCAGTTGATATGTTATAGGGTTACCACTTGTGAATGACCTGTCCTAATACATATCAGCAGTGTTGGACAGCAGCATCCCGTCACACTCACGCCGGTGAGGTAGCGGTACTGGGTGGGCGCCTGCAGCTCCAGCTGCTGCTTCTGCTCCTTGGTCATGCCGGCCAGCATGCAGTAGAAGACGTGGTAGTTGCGCTCGTCGCTGTTCTGCGACACGATGCGCGACTTCTCCAGCAGGTACTGCTCGATCCGGGCGCCCTCGATGGTACCCTGGTCGTTGAAGTGGATGTCGATGTACTTGCCGAAGCGAGACGAGTTGTCGTTCCGGATCGTCTTGGCGTTGCCGAAGGCTGTACGAAGATGGAGAGACGGGTTATCAGGAATTTAACCAGGGTTGTGTATCAAAAGGTAATGCATATCATGGTCATTCGAAACGACGTTCATATAGCTACTAAAATTGAGGCATTTTGGAAACATATGTGTGTCTGTGGTCGACAAAAGCATATATTATGTCCGATTAGCATCGTTCATTTGAACTCGGTACAGTACGCAACGTATAGAGATACAGCAACAAGAAAGCACGTAGATACATAACAATGCTTCCTCAATTGCTTAAAAAGACCATTCGAAATCACGTAGCCATCCTGCAGCTATTTTTCCACTCTCCAACTATCGAGATCGGTGATGGCGTACCTTCGAGGATGGGGTTGGCCTCGAGGATCTGCTGTTCGATCCACGAGTGTTTTCCGGAGATGGCCGCCAGGTACTGCAGGATCAGCTTGGTGCTCTCCGTCTTACCGGCTCCTGATTCGCCGCTGAAATAGGCAGGTCAGGTCAGGTCGGTCGCCGCTGGAACAGTTGGCTCAGATCAGGTCGGTCGCTGCTGTAAAAGTCGGGTCAGGTCGAATCGGTCGCTGCCGTAACAGTCGGGTCAGGTCAGGTCAAATCAGGTCGGTCGCGCCGCTATTGCAGTCGGGTCATCAGGTCATTGTGGTCTGTTAAATCCATCTACTGAGTAACCAAATGTCAGGAAGTTTTTAACACCTCTCCCTTTTTCCATCCATGCGGAGCTATGAAAATAAAGCCTGGGATTATTGCCCCGACTGAGATCCTTGACACGCATGGCTGTGAAATGCTGGATGGTTGTATGTCACGAGCCCGGACCGTCATCCAAGGCCCACAATTCATCCGCCACTAGGCGCACCAAGTTCGTGCCTGTTCATAAATCTCCCGGTGATGTGCCTCTCATCACCCCGCGGTGTGGCAGCGCGGCCGGCCGTCCCGGTCCCCACAGCCCACCGTTCGGCCCCGCGCCCAGCTGAAGCAGACAGACCCGAGTCCGTTTTTACCGCGGTGACCGGCGGTCAGTCGGGGCGCCACCTCACCGCGAGAAGCGCCACATGGCATCATTACCAGGCGAAAACACAGCACCGGGAGGTCGAACGTGATGCTCGTTTTTTACGGCTCACCAGCGGGAGAGGAGGAAAGGTTGCTGAGCTGCACCCCGACTCGGCACCCCGCCCGGCGGGTGGGACGGTTAGGGGTCAGCCGGAAGCGTCGGTCACGACTGATGCAGGGCTGGTGCCGGTCTGAGGTTCAGTCGGAATCGGTGGAGAATGATAAAAGCTGAGGGCGGGAGTTCAGCGCTCGTTTTCAGCTCACTGCATTAATTACTCAAACATCTCACCAGGCACCTTGGCCATACCAGCCCGACAGGACTGTTTCAAATAACGTGAAATATGCTTTCCACTCACCTAATAACAATACACTGGTCGGTCTTCTGGCGCTTCATGTTAGCGTAGCAGTTGTCTCCGATGGCGAATATGTGCGGGGGAAGCTCGCCGATCTTTTTGTCTCGATAGAGCTTGATCTGTTCGGCAGTGTAGATGGGCAAGATCTGGTACGGGTTGACCGCCACGAGAATTGACCCCGTGTATGTCTGTAAAACAGAGAGAGCTGGTCAGCTGCGGTCATGGACCGATGTCGATGGGTTGAATGAGATAGTATGGGGCCGTCTGTGCCATGAGCCGGCATCCATGAGGTCAGATTCTTAGGGGATGAAAATTAGATGGGGTTATTTACGTCGTGAAGAGGGGTCAGGACCGGTAGGATGGAAAACCACAGCCCGGGTTTTCATAGTAAAGGTAATCAATCAGCTGATATGTAAAGGCCTGGCTACACTATGCGTTTTCTGCGTGCGTTTTTTTTGCGAGTTTGCGTGATTTGCGGAATATCGTTCTAGAAAGAAACGACATTACGTTTTTGTTATATGTTTTTCATATAAACTTTTAATTTACATAAACGTTTTATCAACTTTTATATAAATATTAATTAGGGGAAGCCGGGGGAAGCCCGGCATAGTAAGCTCTTTTTCATTTTTATTACATACCATACGTGCTGTATAAAATGTTGATATCCTGCTAGCTAGCTAAGTTCATTGGCCGTGTTTTCCCAAAAACTCGGTTTCGTGGAATAAGTATAAGGTTGAGAAAATCGAGTTTTAAAAAAGTGTTGATTTTTCTGGGGTAAGCCCGGCATAGGGGTAACGCCGGCCACCTCCCCTGCGCTTTACAACGAGTTGATGAAACCATTATGTGTTTTCCAAATATTAACGGAAAGTGAAATATTAAGGTACTGATTAGCTCTGGACATCTTAGAGTTTATGTCACTACTGGTATTTTAGCTAGCGTCTACTACATATACAGTACAGGTCGATGAAAATCATGATGCAAAATTGACAAAAAATGTGTATTTCAAAATTCCTTAAAATTTATTTTTCTTTTTACCTTAATGCATCATATTGCATATCATTCGACTCGGCTGATGAAGAAGAACACAACGACACCATTTTTGAAGCTCTAGCTTCATTGTCTGTCGCGTTATCTGCAAAAACGTAGTTTGACCGTAGTTGACCTTAAGTGACATGACTGGCTTTGTCTATGATAACATATTTATTTTCGAAATTTATCTTTGATCTAGGTGTAAACCAAACCTGCTCAGTACCTATCATCTCATGGAAAACAGTGGTTTAGTGGCATTGCTCTCGGTTGGGGGTAAGCTTGGCCACTCGCCCGGGGTTACCCCAATGTGCTAATTTTTATTTTAAAACAGCGATATTCGAAAAAATGTCATACTTAAGCCAACCTGCCTCGTCACCCCTCACTACAAACACTTAAACGGTCCTTACATAACATTCGTATAAATGTTAGTACTGTATGGTAAAACATTAACAGTGCAACATATCTCACTTTTTAGCTAAAAACCCTTAAAATATCATTTTTGCGCTATAACTTTAACAATATGCAATTTTTGTCAGCCCTAACTTTTTTGCTGGCGTTACCTGCTGCCACGCTGAAAGGACAAACAGTTGAGCATTTTATTGTGAATAATTTAGCCGGAAACGGGGTGGCCGGGCTTCCCCCGCGCCCGGGCTTCCCCCGGCTTCCCCTAAAGGTAGTGTGCCACCTTTGAAAGATTTCCCATTTTATTTTTCCTAGGATAAGAAGCTTCTGTTTTTACATAATATCGCAAAAAAAAATCAAAAATGGGCCTGGAATAGTGCCTTTTTCGCCTAAAAGTTTTTCGGTTTTTAGATATGTATAACAACTGTAGTGGGCTCACCTGCAAAGAGGCGTCGGGCAACAATCGCGAATGCGGCGCACTTGTGACAATAAGCAAAGGTCATTATAGTGTTACGACCATACGACGTACGGGAATGAGTTATCAGCTGTCTAATCGTAGACAACACAATGTCGAGCCTTAAACTGTAAGCCCGTATTGGTATTGTTTCTTTTATTTGGCTGTCGAACATTATTTATGGTTTGAAATATGATTTTATGTAAAATAATTGATATGAAAAAGCCGTCTTATAAGTTATGACCCCATTTCACCACACGCAAGTGGCAGAAATGACAATGATCAGCTGACGCATTTTTCTTGGCCGAAGTCAGAGCGCGCGGCCCGACGCACCACGCGTATTTGGAAATTCCTACCTCGACGAGCATCAGAAGCCACCTAACAGGCGTGTTCGAAACCGCAGGAGATGATGATGAACGGGTTTATCGAAACTTGATTGGATGAGCATATCGGTAATAGCGATTTCAGTGTGTGCATTTATTGTTCATAGTGGTGTGAAATGTGGTTGGGGTACGACCGACAAACCGTCGGGGCGAATTTCGCACTGGGGTACTCAAAATTTGAAGAATTTAAGACGTTTCCATGAGTTTTGAAGGTATGGATAAGTTCTAAAAATCCGGTTCTCCTTATCTGGGCCATTAACTCCATACGGTCCAAGAAAGCTGGCACACTACCTTTAAAGAAGTTCAATTAATAATAACTTTTTTTCTAGAACGATATCACGCAAAACCCGCAAACACGCAAAAAACGCACTCAGAAAACGCATAGTGTAGCCAGGCCTTGAGGACCCGAGATGGATTGGCCGAAAGGGTGACGATGGGTAAAAATGAAGAGAAAAGATAACCGTGGATACAAGGATTCAGCGTTGGACACAGAAATACGCCCAGTTCGATGACAAGAACGGGGAGTCGACAACGTGCACGCCGCGTGACACGGGTGGAGGACGACAATTACGATTCGAACAAGGGGATAATGGGTGTACTTTTCGGGCTGGTTAATGTTACTTCTTGTAAAACGCGCTAGCTATGCCGCTTAGAAGATTTGTCACGTTTTTTATTTTTCTTTTCTCGCTTGATGGCACATTACGTTTTATAAAGCGAGAGTATGCTGAAGCTGCGGAGTAAAATGGCACTTGGGCGCTCTAAAATTCCCAATCGAAAATTAAACCCTAATATTTCAATAAATATGTTGGCTGAGTTTGTTCCAAGCACCTGCTTGGACCAACACCATTCGTGCATTGTCACTTGATTTGTTCAAAGCGCGGCACATATTGTTCGATGAAATCACTTTATTTAATATCCAAAGCTACTATGTCAACCTGATACACTACGCTGTTATGTGTGTTTGATATGTGGGTAGGTTTGTGTGCCGAAGATTGTTCTAAGTCGGGGTTTAAGTTGTTTATCAGTCCTTGACACTTTGTAGCCACTGTGCATGGCCCGCCGGACTGTTCTGGTCTGCACGCTCTGCAGAAGTCTGCAAAGGTTGGTAGCTTATAACAATTTTTGTTGGTTCGGCAAGCGAGAATTCTGTAGGAAATTCCGCTCAACAAGCAGCACTTGAAAGGAATCTGGCGGCTGGCGCATCTAGCAGCTGACCAACGCATTCGCTATATCCAGAATCTAGACAGGGTGAACTTGAAGGCATCAAGTTCCTTTAAACTGACTTTTGTGAAAATAGATAATTCATCTATTTTAGGCACACGTTGTTTGAATTAGGGTTGCTGCATTTACTGTAATACCTTATTCCCCTATCCGTAGAGAATATCTTTCAGTCCATCATCTTGCAGTGCCCCTCGTGATATTTTTTTAGGCACCTGGCCTGCACCCGGGTTCGAGTGGGCCATGGGCGTCTACTTATTTCTCTATTCTTGTTTATTTTCTTATATGTTTCCCTCTCTTCACCACTTGACGGCCGAAGACGACGCTAGACTCACATAGATGAGGTTCTCGTTGTAGCGGATGAGCAGGTTCCGCAGAATGCCGGCCTCGTGCAGGTCGCCCAGCGAGATCATGTCCTCGACGCCCTGCACGGACGTCGGGTGCATGGCCTTGATGCGTCTCTCGGGGGTCAGCCATTGCTCCTGTGGACGGCACGGTCACCGGTGAGGTCAGATCGGGCCACAGGTCAGGTCACGGGTAAGGTCATAGGTTAGGTCATGGGTGGTGGCATGATAAGGGCACTGGCCACTGACTCCGCCCAGTTCCCACACACCTCGTGTCTCTGCCTGTCTCCGAAGGCGAACACTCGAATCGTGACCGCCCCCGCCGCTCGTGGACGGAATATTTATCATGAGCCGACCGTCAGAGGGCGGTGACCCACGTCCTTTGGCGACGGTCAAACAGAGACGTAAAGTGAACGGGGAACAGGTGGAGAGTACCTCAAACACAGTAGCGGCTGAGAAGCTCACCAAACAAATAGCATACCTATCCATCAATTCAAGAACGAGGAGAGAAAGAAAAAAATCCAGGTTGGGATTCTTATGGTATGTGATGATCTGCACTCAACTAAAGATTTACCGTAAAATACTTAGAAGGCCTTACATAATACTCTATATTCTAGACCAGGTTGGACAGGCTGTTGTGTAGAGCGTCCAACCTGTTTGTTCTCAGCTGTAGGCGCCTAAACTGGACCGGTTTAAGTTATTACTGTTAGAGCGCGGGTTTCCCCAAAAGCATGCATAAGCCCAGGCCGTGCAAATTGAGCCGAATCTCCCTACCGTGACCTGCAGGGTCACGTCACCGGGTCACGTCACCGCGACGCGGTCTTTGAGATGACGTAACATCACGACTCACGAGCCTGATATGACGTGACGTGACGCGATAACGTCGCGGTGCTCTGACCGGTATTATCCTAAGCCTGTCTCTAAGAAAGTGGATTTCTGGGGTCAGATATCGCATTTGCGTGTGTTTATGCCAGCCTGGGATTTCCAAATGCCACCAATCATATTACAAAGAACATTTGGGTACGCATGTTCATTGAGAAGGAAATGTAAACATATTCAATTCAGATTGTTGAATGAGGGCTACTTTCTAAGCTCGTTTACTAGATAGGAACGCATTTTCGTTAAGCACTGACCAGTGTGACCAACTGACCATCCCTTCTTAGAGTGAAGATAGCGAACAATAAGGTAATAAGGTACCGTAAAGTGGGGCTATTTGAAACGGATTTTACAGTTTTTGGCCTCTCCCTTTAAGACGGCTCATATTTCTTATAGCATGTAAATTGCAAAAATGTAGTTCTCTGTGAGCTCTTTCATATAGGCGTATTTTGGTTCAGCTAGTAATAATGACTGAGGTTATTTTTTATGTTAAAGCCTGTCTCAAATAGCCCCATAGGGTGGGGCTATTTGAGACAGTTTTAGTTGCAAGGAAATTAAAGAAAATCGGTCACGCTAGAGATAATTTTTTAAACGCCATGCATTTGGAAATTGAATTTTGATCATTTTGGCAAAAATTGTTTTTTTCAAAGACTGTTATATGACCTTTATATTCAATCTTTTCCTTTTTCGTAGGACACTTCATTTCGCTAGGGTATAAAATTGCATCACTATATGCTAAGGCTATCATAATATGATGTGACCCATAGCTTTCAAACTGACCGGATGATCATCAAGGACTATTTTAAAGTCATCGACAGTAAAATTTTGAAAGTAAGTTTTTGTATATAGCCCCGGTGACGTGAAAACAGATATACCGAAAGTCGGTGGGGCTATTTGAGACAGTCTCGCTACCTTATGAAGCACACTGTAATGAATCAAACAAGGCAAAAGGTTTCCCAAAACATTTGAGTGAATGGTCTGCATGATTGTTTGTTCCATTGTACATCTCCATGCGAAGAAATAACAGAAAAATATTAAACGGTGTTGATTTTATGCCGATTTTCCTCGATCGCTGCATGCCGTATCAATTGGCCGGTTACCCTACCACATCAAGTACTTGGATAGGCTCACCTAACAGTACGTTCATGTGTTAAGTAACATTCGATGGTGTTTTTTGGTCAACCAAGGTAGACATATGTTGATTGTCGGATGAGTCAGTGACTGATGAAGCACATTTTAAGCACATATTCATCAGAATAACTAGTTTGGTCACCAGCTAAAGGGTTAGGTATTATGTTACACTACGAGCATGTAAATATTGCTTGCTGCTAAAAGTACCTACCATGAACCCACTGCACGTTTATGACCACGACCGATTCACCGGTGTTGCTTATGTCGAACGTTCGATGCACTTCAGGTAGATGGCGGTAAGTCTTCTCGGGTGCATCGCATCACCGTTAACATCAGCTATTTGGCATACATATCCGTTGAGGTTTGACCAGGTGGGCATCATCGGGATTCTGAGACAATGGGTTACGCAATCGGCAGTACCGTTAACAATATATAATATTTTCATGAAAAATGTGCTTAAAGGGACCCTCCCACCTTCAAAAAAGTTAATGAATTGGCACGAAAGTGATGTCGCTCGGTTCAGAAAGAGCGAAAACGAATATCCACCAAATTTCACTGAAAAATATTCACCGGTTTTCAAGATATTAGACTTTTACTTTTGTTTACTTTTTGAGATCTCCGCTGTTCCTAGCGACTTTATTTGAAAGTGCGGCATTTGTTGCGCGCAAAGCAGCATATACCACTGCGTGCTACCAAACGTTTTAGTAAAAGATTTAAAAATCGTTAGATCTCCGCTGACGTCACAAATTCTAAGGGGGCATACCAATGCACTAGCCCCTTAGAATCCGAAAACTGCAAGTTTGAAATTCCATATCTCCGAATTAAAGCATTTGTCGATGTTGTGAGTGCCCAAACCGGTATTTGCAGGCCATGGCCACCAATTTGACTATCTCAACTCAAAACTAATGTTAAGGTGGGAGTGTCCCTTTAACCTATAAGCAAAAAGGTAGTAGCGATAGATACAGTGGCCAAGCTGTTAAAACTTCAACTTTTTTAAGCTGCAGTATAGGGGTCCTTTTCGAGCAACTTAAATTGTGCGTTTTTCTGTATTTCGTATTTTATTGCAAATTTCTTTCAGAACTTTTCGAAATTTTCAAAAAGGTTATTCAGAGCATTCATTGTTCAATTCCACATCAGCTTAAGCAAAAATGACGAAAAAACCGCAAACGGTTTTCATTTTACAGCGATTTTACTATACCCTTACCTTACTGTCTCAAATAGCCCCACTGTCTCAAATAGCCCCACTTTACGGTAACAATAAGATAGCGAACACCAGACCCTCACTAATATTCGGCTCTCAATACCAATTTCCTCTCAACTGAACTGGCAGGCGGAGCGGTCGAACCGTGACACCTAACGTGGCGTACCCTACCGTGACATGACGTGACTCACCTTTTCGTCGTCATCGACCACCTGGATGCGTCTCCCCTCTGCCGACACCACCCGGGCGCCGATGGCCACGTCGAACTCCCTGCGCGCCGCCGGCTCGATCCATATGTAGTCCCCCTGTGGAGGGCGGGGTCCGGTCACCGGTCAGGTCACAGCTAAATTACGGGACCGGCTCGATCCATATGTAGTCCCCCTGTGGAGGGCGGGGTCCGGTCAATGGTCAGGTCACAGCTAAATTACGGGACCGGCTCGATCCATATGTAGTCCCCCTGTGGAGGGCGGGGTCAGGTCACCGGTCAGGTCACAGCTAAATTACGGGACCGGCTCGATCCATATGTAGTCCCCCTGTGGAGGGCGGGGTCAGGTCAACTATCAGGTCACAGCTAATGTACGGGGCCGGCTCGATCCATATGTAGTCCCCCTGTGGGCGGCGGGGTCCGGTCAATGGTCCGGTCACAGATAGATTACGGGACCTGCTCGATCCATATGTAGTCCCCCTGTGGGCGGCGGGGTCAGGTCACCGGTCAGGTCACAGATAATGCACGGGGCCGGCTCGATCCATATGTAGTCCCCCTGTGGAGGGCGGGGTCAGGTCAATGGTCAGGTTATAGATAGATTACGAGACCTGCTCGATCCATATGTAGTCACCCTACGGCGATGAGGTCAGCTTACGGGGTAGGTCGCATCTGAGGTAAGTAGGCGTGTATAATATTGTCCCCAACCAGAAACTCAGGTTAGTGCACTGATGTCTTAACCAAATTTCCATCTGATCAATGGAATATATAATTATAAATGAAATTTCATAGTCAAGAGGCGTATGGGATAAACTGCTGACCGGACTAATCGCACGAAAACTTGTTCATAAAAAGCCGTTAGAGTGGCATGACTAAGTTACCGCGACGAAACAAGAATGGACCGCGGCCGAAGTGGTTGGTAAATATGAGATATGACGCTGCATATTTTCGTCCTTTCACGCAGCGCTTTTGTATTTAAATTTAAACGTCCATACAATGCGTCTGGAAAATGAATAAAAACATTGATGTATTTGAAGTATCGATTTGTTGTGCAAATAGAAAGGTGCAAGTCACTAGACTGTGAGAAATATAGATGCACGCCTATTGTTACGAGAGGGAACTTATATGCATGCAAAAATGCACACATGAATAACACAAAAGATTCACAAGAATATCGTTGAATCATCCGCTTAGATCAAGTTTCGGTCATTCACATCATTGCTATGGTAGTGGTCAATGTTGTCCTGGATAAAGTGAAAGAAAGAGAGAGACGAGACGAGACACTATATAGAGACGTGAAACGAATCAGGCATCATAAACCCCACAGGGGACTAGACTGGATAGGTAGTGGACAAATGGACAGACCCGGACGGACAGTGTATCGCCGGCAGCCTACTTGGACGGCCGCCAGGTCGGCTGAGGCGACCCATGCTCAGTCGACTGAGGACGGACCCTCGATAGGCAGATAGCGGGACCGGCCTTACAGAGAGATAGCGTCTCCGGCGGCGGCAGCGCGGTGGCGACAGGTAGCACCGCGCGCCGCTCAGTGACGCGGTCAGTGGGGAGGGGCATCCGCGAAATGCAGACAGCAAATAAACCTTGGCACCTGCTATGCAAACAGACCTCAGAATATATCAATGAAAAGCGTAAATACCAGTGAATGAATGGCCTGCCTGAACACAGAATATGTGGAGAACAGGCAAACAGTAAATACTGCCGAGGCCCTTTTAATATTGTCTTGCTTAGAGATGCTTTACAAGACAGGTTGTGCTGCTAGTTGCTACCAAGCTAGCTGATGATGCGGCAATAATTATGCCCTTGCTCGTATTGCGATAGGGCATTAAACGAACTTCTCATGTGATATTGATAAGATTGACCAACGTCCATAGACCTTTATAAACGCCAATCGATTGAGAAAAAAATATTCGATGAAAAACGCAGAATTAAGATAATCCAGATAAAGATATGGTGAAGACAGGATCCGCGCAAAACTAGACAAAGACAAAGCATCAAGCAGCAACATCAAAACAAAAGGTGCTTATTTTTTAGTAACAAGCGGACGGACCAAGGACGAAACAGAGCGAAGACGCTTCACGACAACATCAACATCACGACACCCATACCGTAAGCTTTTCAACATCACACCGAAGCCGTAAACTCTTCGACTCAACAACCCAGAAGCTGCAAGCTCTTCGACATCACGAGACTGAAGCCGCAAGCTCTTCAACATCACATCGAAGCCGGAAGCTCCTCGACATCACGACATTCAGCCGTTCTTCAGCATCCCGCGGAGGCGGACGGGCGGTCTCCAAAAGCTGTCGACCCTGGCGAAAGTCTCCTCCGCCTCACTCACTTTGATGATGATCTTGTTGGCGACTCTTTCGACGATCTCGTACCCGTCTCCGTGTCGGTACAGCTGGGTCTGCGGGTCCAGCGGCGACGGGTCCTCATCGTCGGCCTGCGAGGACTGCACGGATCGCACCGTGTCGTCCTTGGCCATGGCGGCGACCGCGCCGGTGCTGCCCTCCGGTGGCGACCCCGAGAACCCTCTCCGGTCACTGGTCCCGTCAGTTGGTGGACTGGTGAAGTGTGGTCACTGAGTTCTTCTCCTTCAGTAGAACTGTCGGTTGGCACCAACGAACAACACCGTTACGACTTTGAAACCAACGGACAGAACATAGATCAATGACCACTTTTGACGTTTAGCTGCAGAATCACACTTTTCACGCAACACCTCTCTGGACGTTTTCTCCGCTCTCCCCACTTCACACGACCCCACCTCACTCCCAGACCTTTCGACCCTTCGATTCGCGCGAGGTCTTTTCGTCTCCCCGAGGCCCCGCCCTGACCCTGGCGCGGACTGGGCCAGGCCAGCTCCGGCTGACCGCAGCCTACCTCCACCGCCCGATAGCGCCCCACCGTGACACAGGAGGGCTCTCCTGTGACGGCCACTGACGGAAGACTCACTCTGTAGCCGATAGTCGACACTGGCGACTATCTGACAGCGCCCTAACCCTCCCGGACCTGCAGGATAAGATACCGGCTGTCGACCGATACAGACCAGCAGCTCGAGCTGCATGCTGTGACATTGTCCCCGGCTAATGCAGCTAGCAGGTCATCCAGAGAAGGCTTGGGTTGCATCGCAAAAACATTACTTGAGTAGTGAAACTTTTTATGTGGAAGACTCGAATAATTTTGTTACAGATATTCCTGAAGCTGGAACACCGCGCTTAGCGCAAGTTATTGAAGGGGCAGTCTGAGGCGACACTGCGCGACAAACGACACCAGATTGATGCCAAATGTTCAACATCTCTCAGGCAAATAGTAAATACGGCAATGATATTCGTCGAGTCATCATCCGCTCTGATTCTCATGATCGCTGGCGAGCAGTTCCTAGCGAGCGGCGCGGGTGTTAAATTTGGTGACAGTCCAAACGACTATAGAATGTGACTCTCGCGGTCAAGTTAACGATTCAAACAGCTCTCTTTCTCATGCCTAAGCTGTTGGTTTTGATTCTTTCACTGCAGGACAGCAGGTTGACGGAACAGAAAAGATTATTATGAATTCAAACTTAACGTCTCCATGAATTTATTCAACGTCCTGCTATTTTTATAACGGCCAGCACGTTTTCATAATGAACAGTCCGTGGGTTTTCGTCACGACTTCTGAGTCGGTTAATGAGAGGGACCAGCCCGCGCACAGGATGTGAAAACCGCGCGGCCACCGCGCAGTCGCTGCCAGTGGACGGTGGGCGGGATCCGGCTCCTCGCCCGTTGTTCGTCGTCTTTCTGTCTACTGCCTATCCCCATAGTCCACAATTACCTTCTGTCCACAGTCCACCGTCTGCCGTCACATTACATTGTCCTCTGTCAATCGTCAATCGTCCAACATACTGTCCACCGTCTTTGCTGCGTTGTGCCCACCATGTCGCCATCTTTCGTGTGGTTCTATCCACTCGCCAGTATTTCATAACCGCTGTATCTCCGCTGCACAGTGGAAAACGCAGTTCATTCTCTTTTCACAGTCCATATTGCACTGAACCGGCTTTATATGTGTCTTCCACTCTAAGACCCTTCAGAAGTCGAGCGCCCAAGCAGTCACGGTTTTTGCCTCTCTTCGTCTCGTCCCCATCCTTCCTCCCCCGCCCCGTCGGACGGGGGACGCAGCGTTCCTCCTCGCACAGGTGTGGCGCGTCACAGATCGTCTCGGTGGCGTCACAGCTCGTCTGCGCCGCGCCACGACGGCCGTCAGGCGGTCGGCGCGCCACTTTCGTGTGTGCCCGGCCGGTATACCGTTGCCCACGGAGGTGTTCAGTCGGCGCCCTGCCGGAGTCAGCTGCCGCCTTCGGGCAGCAGCCGGGCGGCCTTAACGGTACACTCGGCTGGAGTCAGGAATGTACACAGATGCCTATCGACAACTAACGATGGACGTAGTACACCGACGGCCGCTGTCGCATCACATTTGCCTGTATTCCATCGCGAACGAGGAAATTGGCCCGTGTAAAGATGAAGAAAAATGTAAGTGCAATTGGATTACGTTCGTTGTAATCTTTCATCGTGTGTGGGAATCCTGTACGGGAAAGCCCGGTTAGAGGAAATCGTGGAGCCTTCCAAAGAACATTATTAGTGATCGGTTCCTATGACGTCACTAAATGGCGCTCCGACAACCGGAGACTGAAGAACGAGGCAAAAGGAAACCCCCGCTATTGAATTTTAAACCTGTAACCCCGTGAATGTCCACCAATTCATCTTCACTTCTGACCTTTTAACACCGCATGGCAGTTCCCAGCCCTCCGCACGATCATTTCCGTGACATCACGAGAGAAGAGACGCTCTCCGTGACTTTCTTTTTGGGCGGAAGGCAATGGGCTCTCATCAGGCCGCGCCCGAGTCCATCGAACAATGCCGTACTTACGCGAGTAACAATGACCATAGTCAGGCGTCAGCGCATCCCCTCCAGTGGATCTGGAACAAAAACGAACCGGTCGTTAGTCTTCACACAGGCACAGAGGGGCGCGGAGAATCGACACCGACACACGCGAGAGAGGAGCTCAACGGAAGCGGTTGCTGCTTGAAGCCTCATTAGGTTCACATTCTGAACGATCAGCGGGTCACACACAGGCACACAGCGCGGCAAAGGCCACCATCACCGAACTCACGCACTCGATGGGATAATCTCTCATGTACCCAATCAATTCCTGTCCGGTTAATACGTCTGGCCTAACCGATCGACCGCTCAGGCGGCGAACGATTCCCATTCTCCTTGGCTGTAGTAACGGGACGGCGTCGCTCTGGCCGCCTCGAAACGACTCCGGCTTCGGCTGGGCTCCGGCTCGGAGCTCCGTGCACCGAAGCGAGACGGAGCGTCACAGTGCACAGTGTGCCGTGCATGGTGCACTGGCGGCCGTCTGTGCAACTGCACGCCGCGTGACGCAGAGATGCCGCGGCGCTGACACGGAGACGGATAGAACAACAGCGACCGTTTGAGGGACTGACACTGAGCGCTGTGCCGTCCTCGTGGGACCGGCAGTGGGCGTTATACAGCCGGTGTTATGACGACTGCAAGACGTTTGCATCGTTGCATGGCCACAGAATAGGTGAAAGGGAATTTGCAGATTGCTGTAATGGTAGGCAATCAAAACTGACAATAGTCATTAGGGCTGTGATTTTGTACCTGGAGGAACAATGATACCTATATTTGACGATTGAAAAAATGTGGGAACCGGGGAAGTTGACGCGATACACAAAGCCAACACATCATTCGTAATGAAGCTGTTTACGCATTGAACACTCTTCTATGAAACATATATTCTCATAACATCCGACTCTGCCACTGCGCTGGTGCATAGCCACCGGACGAACCAAATGCCCATGCTGCCATCCGTCGCGTCGGGACGGCAGGTGCCAATAGCGGACGGCCCGGCTCGCCATCCACCGGGCGCGGTGGGACACTATAGCCGCGGCCGGCTGTCCCACCAGCCCGGCCCGGGCCGGGGAGGGAGGGGTGCGGACCGGATGTGACGGCCCGCTTCCTGTGGTGGGGCCAGGACACGCCCAGAGCGGCGGACGGCACGCGCCCGGTACGGACTAGGCCTCCGCGCTGGGACGAGCTAGAGAGAACATGGATGAGTTGACTGCGTGAGAGGACGAGAAAAAGGTCTGTCGAGGCTGGGTAACTTTGCGTAATGTGTATTCTCGTGAGCGGAGGACAGTCTGAGTGGTTGGAACAGGTACAACCAATGTCCTTGTCGGCGTAGCTGGTAGCAGGCACGTTTTTTGTTGATTTTTAAGAAATAGAAAAAAAAAACGTTCATTGAATAACGTGCAGTCGAGGTTTTCTCCTCCGAGGCGTAGGATAATGTCAGAGATGTAAGATAAATCATAAATAGGCACCTCTATCTCCTAAGATGAAAATATTAACCGTGTGCACAACAGTCCCTCATTGGAGAATGGAAGAGTGACCCATCATACATGACCGACAGCGAAGGACCGCTGAGCACTGACCCGTGACCAGCAGCTCACCGAGCTTCAGCTGACCGGTGCCGGGAGGGAGGGGGCGGGACAGCTGAGCGCCCAGCAGCTGACTGTGAGTCACGCCTCCCCCTCCCCCTCCCCCTCCTCCCGCTCAGGTGAGGACGCCGCTACTCGACTTGTCTGTCTGTCTGGCTGCACGGGGCGGAGACAGCCCCGGGGCCTTGTCCAACACACAGCCGCTCCGCGACGCCGCAGCGGTTTGGGTTATGCAGACTGATCAGCATTGCCGCCGCTGCCGCGTCTCTGACCTTGAACTGAGGTCATCGGCCTGACGGTGGTGCCGGCGCTGTGGTGACGACGGCGGCGCGGCGGCAGAACGGAATGAGAGGTACTCGGGCCAACAGCAGAGCTGGACAAATCTGCACACAATGGCCGCAATGGCGACGAGCGTCCTGCATTGTTCGACAATAAACACGGAATGCTTTGGGGACTCCGTCAGAAGAGCCGGATGAAAATGGATTGACAACCGCATAAATCTCAAACACAGTGAGATTGAAGAAGAGAGGAGTCCCGCAGGTTGCCAGAATCAGCGGATGGTGAGCTCCGGAGAATCTTAACGTCACCTGACGACATGCAATAAAACCTTCAGACAAGGAGTCATACAAGTCAGATGATATCAGTCACTATCTGATCGATCTAGGCGGATGTTATCGATACGCCCCCGTCAGACTCACAGCAGAACAGTGTGAACAACACTCGCGCCGATGAAGACAAACCTTCCCCGCAGGGGGCTGACCGTGGTCAGAGCTGCTGCTTTGCCGAGGTCATCTGGCCCCGGCTTTGCGGCGGCTGTGACTTCGGCCAGTAAGGGGAGTAGCGCCCCCTCGGCCCCAGCTTGACGCGCGTTTGACCTGGACTTGCTTTGGTTGCCGGATGGATTGCCTGCTGGATTGGCCCCGCAGGGGGTTGGCTGTGGCCTGGGTCGCTGTTGGACTGGGCTCATTGGGCCCTCGTCCCGCGGCGGCCCTGGCCTCGGCCAGCAAGGGGAGTAGCGCCCCCTCGGCCCCAGCTTGACCCATGCTTGCTTACGATTTGCTTTTGATCACTGGATGGACAGACGGTACGGCCCGACTTTTCTTGGTTTCCGTGGTTATGTTTCTCTTGAGCGGTCTTTGTTTGCTTTTGCTTTGCTTCTCACCGGATGTCCGCGTTTCGTTCGATCACAGCTTTCTGATTCCTTTCCCCCTTTTTTCGTTGTTTTTTGCACCCGCAGGAACACAGCCGAGTTGGGCTAGTGTAAGGGGAGTGGCGTCCCCTCGGGTACCAGCCGGTTTTACTAGGCTAGGCGAGCCGACCCGTACCCCAGGACAACGGGATCCTGGAGGTTGAGCCCCCCACCGTGCGGAGCCAGTCGCGGTGGCTGGGCAACACGCCTCTTTGGCCCTGAGTTCTGTAAGGGCGGGACACTCAGTGGGGCGCCGCACTTGAGGAGCCATTTCCAGTCGTGATGCCGCCGGGGGTGGTGTCGGAGAGGTGTCGCCGGCGGGGTTCGGGCACTTGTGCTCGTCCTCCGTCGGTGGGACTGATCTGTCGCCGCCCCTGGCGGTGACTCGGCTAGGCGTCAAGGGAGGAGGCGGTATCCGACCGTGGGGGGTGGTGAGTCTCTCTCTCCCCCGCGGAAGGTGCCGCCAAGTCCCGTACAGTCAGCTCGGCCGTCCCAGGCCTTGTAGCGGCGCCGTTGCGGAGCGTCGGCGGCCGAGCTGGCGGAGACCAAGCACACTTACATGGATGACCGGACCAACCCCCCTTCCCCTCAATCCAACCCCTCGGCTTCGGCCGATTCTCGCCCGTTGGCCTCGGCCGGCGGGCGAACGTCGCACGAGAAGGTTCCTCGAAACCCAAAGATCCTTATCCTCAGGAGCAGTGACAAACAGCTGGGTGCGCTGTCCCCCTTCCAACGGAAGGACGGCTGCGACCGCCTCGGCAAGATCCTCCGTTGCGATCGGATGCGCGATGGGGCTTTGGAAGTCGAATTCGAGAAAAGTGAGGAGGCTGCAAAAGCCTTAAGCGCCACCCGATTTGTGTATACCGAGGGACGGGCCTCCGGCAGGAAGCTGGTCTCTGTCCCTCTCTCAGTTGAGCCGGACAGGTCAAAGAACTCGAGCAGAGGGGTCATCAACTGCTTTGACCTCAGAGACGTGAGCAATGACGACATCGCAGACGGCCTCGCCGACTTTGGCGTCACAGCAGCACACCGCATCTTGGCGAGGAGAGGCACGGTCCCCACGAATAACATTATCTTAACCTTTGACTCCACCGACATGCCGAGCGAGGTTCGCGTGGGGTACGTGAGGGTTCGTGTGCGCCCTTACGTCCCGGCTCCCATGCGTTGCTTCCGCTGTCAACGTTTTGGTCATACGAAGGACAACTGCCGAGGCAAACCCGTGTGCTCCAAGTGTGCTTCCCAGGACCACACTGACGACACGTGCAGCTCGGAGACCCCTCGATGCGTCAACTGCGGAGAGGGGCAGACACCGCACTCCGCGTATGACAGGTCCTGCCCTACATACGTCAAAGAGAAGGAGATAAACACCATCAAGGCTACCAGAAATCTGTCGTTTAAAGAGGCCCGGGAGGTGTATAACCAAACTCACCCTAAGACCTCGTATGCCCAAAAGGTGAGAGTGACAAACTCAACCGATGCCTCCCAGATGAGTGTTGCACAGCTCGTGCAGCTCCTCAAGCGATTCGGCCTCACTGTCGTAGCCACTGATGGCTCAGCGGACCCCCCGGCGCCTCGTGCGCCGCCGAGCGACACGGAGCAGGATGCTCAGGAGTCAGTGTGGGGTCCACCCAGTCCGGCTCCAGCCGCGAGTGGAGACGAGTGGACCGTCGTCCAGCGCCGACAGGGTGGTCGGCGCCCCCCGGCGCAGGGTAAGGCGCCACCCACCCCGCCCCGCCCCCGACCGTCTACGGCGGTGCAGGAGGCTCTGCGGCGGGGGGAGGAGGAGAGGAGGGCACGTGAGGCGAGGAGGGCTCGCCTCGTCCAGAAGGCCCTCGAGGCTAAGGAAGCCTCGTCTGCCGACTCCGCCTCCGGGAGTGCCAACGCGGCCGCCGCCGCTGACACCCCGGAGACACCTGAGGCGGGGACTCGGCCCATCATGGGTCCCCCGCCGCCTCCTCCACCTCCGCAGCGGCGGCCACCACCGCCGCTGCCAGAGACGCCTGTGTCGAGGACACAGGCCGCCGCCTCGACATCCCCGTCGGGGCGGCAACAGTCCTCCGCGGCTCCAGGGCGCCTCGCAAAGCGGCAGACGCCCCCGAGCTGGTCGCCCTCGGAGGGTGACGCCCCTCGGGCGAAAAAGCCCCAGCAGGGCTCGAGCCACGCCCGATCTGCCTCCGCTGAAGGGAGGCTTCACCGAGAGGGCTCGGGGCACCCCCGCATCCGTTACGGGGGGAGCGCCTCCTCGGAGTTAGAGGACCTAGTCTAG